GAATAGAACTATAGAAGGGCTTTGGGCTTCTCTGAAAACATGCGGTGAAGAACCGAGGATTAAAAAGGAGGGAACGAAGAGAGAACACCACCATCTTTTTTGGGGTTCAACAATCAACACCAAAACAAGTTGCCACGTGTACAATTATTTCTCTCTCTGTTTGCAATGGAAATGCAGAATAGTTGGAGGAATTAGTACTGCGAATCCAAATATATTAGCTGGTTTTCCTCCGATAGTTACTGTGCTCTGCAGAGCTTCTTCTCTTAAATTGGAAATTATTTGTGAAAAACTGAAGCTTCATGTTTTTTCACTAAAATGTCTTCTTCAGTACATTATCCATAATCTGCTAAGACTTCATGTTATTTTTTTTATTGGTCGTGGTCCTCGTGGAGCTTGGAATCTGAGGAGGTGGATGAGTTCAAGATGATTCCAATACTGAAACAGCTGCCACTTATAAATCCTTGGTTGATTTCTAAAAACTGCAATTGACTGCATCTAGCAGCATTAAACTTAAGTGGTTTAGTTTATCAATCTGCAATCTAGCTGTACCACGGACAATATTCTCATGGATTTGCACACGGAGGAGGAATTCCTGAAAACCGTATTGCCCGATATAAATGAAGTAATGAATTTCTTTTAACATTATAATTGTGTGTATTTAGTTTATCTATTCTATAAATAACTTGAAGTAGGCATTTTCTCTAGATTGCAGACACATGGGTGAAAAGGTAATGTAGGGTTCTTAGTTTTAATATCAACTAACAGAGGGACTGGTAGATAGAAGGAAAGCTCGATTGGTAGCCTTGCTTCAAACTCAGCAAAGTATGTTCTGAATCTAAAAGAAAATCCAGAGTAGTTGCCGGTTTGCTCGGGGCAGGGATATGTCGGGGATCTTCGTCATCCGGCATCCAACGGTCAATATTAATGATAGAACAAGGTGGACCACCTTCTATTTTCAGTTATCGAGGATCCACTGCTATAGGCTATAGCCTACCAGGTAGGATACTCATTAGGCGGCTGATTCAAGTTATACAAGATACAACTGTAGTTCCTCGTTTGGTTGCAATGCGATTTTTATTTGCACTGGTGCAAAAGCATGAGAATGTAAATTCTAATTTGTTTTWTGTTTCAGCTCTTGCTTTATTTTTTTATTTTTATTTTTAATTCTAATGAAAAAAACAACTGAAACAATGTAAAGTGTAACACCCCCCCCCCCCCAAAAAAAGGAAAAAACATGCAAAATAAAGTGAAATCCAAAGCAAATTTGAATCAAAATTTATGGTGGTGTTTGTAAATCTTTCTGTACGGTTTTTTGGGTTTTGGCAAATTTGAGAGGTCAAAAATTGGTCTTTTTCTATTTGATAATAGAAAGTTGGGAAAACAAAAAAAATGTGCTCAAAAGGTATTAAAAAATAAAATTAGTCAATTTTTCTGTGCAACTTTTGAGTTTCAGCAAGTTTGAAAGACCAAAAATTGGTCTTTTCTTTTGATAATAGAAAGCCGGGAAAAAAAATGTGCTCAAAAGACCTAAATTCAATTTTGGGTATTTCTACCTGATAAATAGCCTTTAGATGCATTTTTTAAAAGCCCAATAACTTAAGGTCTTAATCTTTAAAGATAAGACCCCAAAAACTGAATAGGTTTTATAACCATTTGGCGTGTTAGAAAATCTTTTTAAAAAAGACTTGCAAATGATACCTACATTTTTCTGATTTACACTCATGCATTTACATTTGTACTGGTAGTCTGGTACACATAAAATATCATTACAAACAAACGGAGCCTAAGTTTCATTGATACCGAGATTACGAAAATAACCCTATTCATAAACAGACACAAGTGGATAAGGAAAATCTCAATTTCTCCACTTCCCCCATCGTCTCATATCTAAAGAACAGAGTTACAGAAGCAAGAAAAAAACCAACCACATCCATTCATCCTCAGAACCATGGCCACGATTTTCTCTCCTTCAGCCATCTTCTCTTCTTCCTCTGCAACTCCCCCAAAATTTACCCTAAACTTACCTCCATCCAAACCCCAACTCACATTTCAAGCCCAAACGACGACCACCACCACCACCAAATCCTCCTCACCTGTCGTAACTGTCACCGCGGCCGCGGCTGCTGCTGCCGTGATTCTTTCAACCACCCCTCCATCTTTTGCAGACGCGTCCACATCATACTACGTCTACTACGGCACGGCTGCCAGTGCAGCCAATTACGGTGGCTACGGTGGCAATTCAGACAAAAAGGCCTCCGCAGAGTACATATACGACGTGCCGGATGGGTGGAAAGAGCGTCTGGTATCGAAGGTCGAGAAGGGTACTAACGGCACCGACAGCGAATTCTACAACCCGAAGAAGAAATCCGAGAAGGAGTACCTGACGTTTCTCTCCGGCTTCCGGGCACTCGCGCCGATGGATGTCGTGCTAAACAACTTGGCGTTGTCGGATGTGGATTTGCAAGATCTCATCGCCAGTGCCGAGAACGTTCGATCCGAGGAGAGGAAGGATGATAAAGGGCAGGTCTACTATGTTTACGAGATTGATGGGGCAAGTGCCCATAGTTTGATCTCTGTAACATGTGCCAAGAACAAGCTCTATGCGCATTTCGTCAATGCACCAACGCCGGAGTGGAACCGGGATCAGGAAACATTGAAGCATATCCACGAGTCTTTTAAAACAGTAGGATCATATTAGTAGATGTTGATACTTTGATACCTGACAGAAGGAGATATTTCTTGTATCCTGGAATAAGAACAGTTTCGTGGTTATTTTGCTCTTGCTGGTATTAATTAATATTTTGTGGAAAATTTTGTTTCTCAATGGCATCTTTTGTAAAGGAAACCGTTTTGTAGAGGAAGAAAAGGAATAAAGGGCTTCAAGCCTTCAACCATTGTTGATAAAAACAGCGGTAGTCGGTTGATCCCTCCGCTCTATAATCAGTTGGCGTGAAAAGGCAATAGAATAATCAAATGGACTTGAATTTGATTATGGGTTTTCTACAAAGTGGCAAACTGTTTGATGAAAGCCTCAAAGAAAGGAAAAGCGATTGTTTGGACTTGGTTATGAATTTTTGACTTTATTACCAAAAAAACAAAAGAACTTGGTTCTGAAACCTGAATCAATATATTCAAGAAAAATGAAAGTTTTCTATTTGAATTATTGCTGTCAAGGATGGGGTTTAGGGCAACAAGATAATTTCACTARTGTTCGAGGCTGATGAGTCCAACTTATGAGTTGGAGAAGAACACACATCAGAGGCCCCGGGTGTTATCCCAGGGGTAGAGAAGTTAGGTGCTTAGAGAGGGATTGGGCTAGGCTTGAGACAAGGTGTCAAAGATTAGTCTTTAAGAGCTTAGGATGAGGTCTCTCGATAGTACCTCCCCACCCCTATAGTTGACCTTGCCATGGAGTGGTTGGAAGTAGTTAGAGAGAGAAGGCTAGGATCTCATCAAACCGATGCCATGTGGCATGATTCGGGGACTTGCCACATGTGCCTACATCACTTACCTCCCACTCTTGAGGCCATAGTGACCGAGGTAGAGTTGCACATTGAGCGGAGACCTCGGCTTTAGCCGATGAAGAGAGTACTACATTACTTCGTAGAGGCATTGGATTGGCATGTTGGGTAGAGGGCCCAATTTAAGTCGAAGAAAGCGTAATACAGTGGCGTAGAGGTGTTGGCCAAGGCTATTGAGATCTCTTCTTGGTGATTTGCCACATGTGCCTACATTACTTACCTCCCACTCTTGAGGCCATAGTGGCCAAGGTAGAGTTGCACATTGAGTGGAGACCTCGACTTTAGCCGAAGAGAGTACTACATTACTTCGTAAAGGCATTGGATTGGCAAGTTGGGTAAAGGGCCCAGTTTTAGTCAAAGAAAGCATCATACGGTGGCGCGGAGGCATTGGCCTCGGCTATTGAGAGCTCTTCTTGGTGACCGCGTGGCGACTACTTCCTTTGTTATTTCTTGCCTCTCCGAAGGGCCATGGTGGGCCGAGGGTGAGGGACCGTGCCTGGCATGGGTGCAAGGCATCTATGTTCATCAGTCGTGCTTTGTACGAGTGCCATTGTAAATCCGTGTGCAGGACGATTGTCGGTGTTGATCAGTTGTGGCTGTGTGTGCGGGACGAGTGCCTGGTTTGGGTCACTCTTGACCCGGAGTTGGTGGGTGGACAAGCTTGTCGGCAGCCCTATGGTCGTTCGATCAAAGCAATTAGAGCCGTACATTTTCCTTTAAAAAGGGTCAATGGTTGAAGTAGCCTCCATCATTTGCTCGTTTCCGCTTGTGATCCCAAAGACCTCAACCACCAATCTAGTCGATCTCTTGATCTTTTCCTTCAAGCTTGTAACAAGGTAAAGGACTTTTCCTTGAACCATATCATATTCCTAGAGGTGTAAATTGGGCCAGGCCGTCCGTAGCCCGACACAACCTAGCACGATTTTGCATTGGCCTAGCATAAAGACCCACGGGCCATGCCAAGCCCGAACGGAGGTCTGTGCCATGCTGGGTTGGGGGTTCGAGGCCCATGTGCCAGCATGGTCCCGCGTGCTGGCACAGCCCAACCTGCGGCATGGCATGAAGCATGACCTGCCAAGCCTGTAGCGGGCCGCGTTCGACCCGTCCAAGAATATAGCCATTGGGCCCCTTTGGGAGGGGGGCCCAACGGCTTGTTTTAGCTTTGGGGGGGGGGTTTACAGAAATACCCCCCAACATAAACAACCATATTAGGGGGGTATTTCTATATTTTGCTTATGTGGGGTTGAAAAATGACATAAATTACCCCAACAACTACATAATAACTAGTTTAGGGGGCTATTTTGGGTAAAGTTATAAGTAACTTTATAATGACCAAAATACCCCTCACAACAACTAAGTAATAGATAGTTTTTTGTGTATTTTGGGCAATTGAATTATGTTCAATTCCTATAAATAGCCTTATCCTCCACCTTTCTCATCACACCAATTCAACAATTCTCTTAATCTCTTCTCTCTCTCTCTCTCTCTCTCTCTCTCTCATACTAATACATTTTCAATTATTTGCAATTTGAGAAATTTTGATTCGTGGATTGTCTGATTCTGCATTCTCTAATTTTCAAGTCTCAACTTTATCAAAGTTTTGACTTTCAACAAGAAGAAGGCTTGCTCAACCAGCTCAAGTATCTCAATTCGGGAGGCTTGGACGTTGAAAGGCTTCAACCGTTGAAATCAAGTTGGGATTTTGAATCGACAATTCGGGTAAGTCAAATTAGATTAATTTTTATCTTTTTAGAATTAAAAAAATGGTCAGCTCTTTTGAAAACTGATTCCTCAACATGTTCACCATAGATGACATTCAATTGCATCATGATAGTGTTAGCACTGATGCGATTGATGTCAATGGAAGTAGAACTTTCACCCCTGGTAGTAGTTATACTAGGGGAAAAAGGAGGGCTTCTAAGTTGAGTAGCCCGGTTTGAAAAGTTTTCAAAGTAGAGGATATCGAGGGGAAGGGGAAAATGGTCGTTTGCCAAAAATGTAAGAAAGACTTTAGTTATTGTAGCAAGGGTGGTACAGGTCATTTGAGTAGACATTTGCTCACACATGAGCGAGAGGAAGATGAAGGGAGAGAAACAACCCAAACATAGATAGGGAGGGGGACTACTTTGGTACTTTTAGATATTCACAATAAACAATGAGACAAGAACTTGCTAAGTATATTGTACATGCAGAATAACCATTTATATTAGCTAAAGATCCAAAGTTAGAAAAATGGTTGCGTAGTTCTGTAAATCCACAGTATAAAAAAGTTTCTAGGAATACTATAAGAACTGATGCTTTAAAAATTTTTTGTTCATATAAACAAAATTTAATTTCTTTGTTAGCAAATCTTAATTCTAAAGTTGCAATTATTTCACATATTTGTTAGCAAATCATTGATAAATATTGGCTTTTGAATAAAAGAATTTTAAGTTTTACTAGGCTTGAATGGCCACATAGTGGCCCAKCTATTGCTGCAAGTATTTTAAATACTTTGTTTTCTATTAGTTTTGATAATGCCAGCAATAATGATTCTACAATAAATATTTTAAAATCTCAATTAAAACCATGCTTAAATGGTAAATTATTTCACATAGTGGCCCAACTATTGCTGCTAGTATTTTAAATACTTTGCATTCTTATGGTCTATTAGTTTTGATAATGCCAGCAATAATGATTATGTATTAAATATTTTAAAAYTTCAACTAAAACCATGCTTAATTGGTAAATTATTTCACATTAGATGTGCATGTCACATCTTAAATTTATGTATTCAAGATGCCTTGAATATTATTTCTACTCACATTTCAAAAATTAGAAATTGTATTATATATAAAAAAAGTTCAGGGGCAAGAAAACAAGAATTTAAATATTTATGTCAAAATTATGGTTTAAATATTAACATTTTATATTAGATGTAAAACATAGGTGGAATTCTACCTATGCTATCTTAGAAAGTTGTATATCTTATAAACAAATTCTTTCTGATTTTTATAATTCAAAAATGCCTAATGATATGGTATTTGGGGAAGACTGGGAAATTGCAGTATGAATAAGAGATTTTTTTAAATCATTTTTATGATGCAACAAATGAATTGTCTAGAATTTATCATCCAACTAGTTGTAATTTACCATATCAATTAATGGCAATTAGTGATTTTTTTGCTAAACATAAAAATAATCCACAATATCAATGTATTGTTGAAATTATGGAAAATAAATTTAAAAAATATTGGGAGAATATTTCTCCCCTTTATTGTTTAGCTACAATATTAGACCCTAGGATTAGAAAAGATGGTTTAGATATTGTACTTGAAACATATTATGAAAATATGAATATTGATATAAGAAATAAAAAAGAAGAAATTAATAATTTATTATTTGAAATGTACAGTTCCTACAACTTGTTCATCTTCTTCTTCTACTTCTAACCTTGAGCCCAGTAGTAGAAGAGAAAAACTTTTTTATTTAATAAGTAAAAGGCATAAATCTGGTAGTTCTAAAACAAGTTCATTCATTGAACTTAATTTTTATTTGCAAGCAAATTTTTCTAATTTAGGTGAAGTATCAAATAATTTTGATATTTTAGCCTAGTGGAGTGAAAGCTTGAAACATAAGTTCATTTACTTAACTTAATTTTTATTTGCAAGCAAATTTTTCTAATTTATGTGGAGTATCAAATAATTTTGGTATTTTAGCCTAGTGGAGTGAACACTCGAAACATAAGTTCATTTACTGAATTTAATTTTTATTTGCAAGAATTTTTTTCTAATTTCGGTGAGTATCAAATAATTTTGATATTTTAGCCTAGTGGAGTGAACACTCGAAAAATTATCCAGTTCTCGCCGCCATGGCATGTAATCTACTAACCCCTCCAGTGTCTACAATTCCATCGGAGTCTTGCTTTAGTGTAGCTACCAGGGTGTTGGATGACAAAAGAAGCTACATGAACAATGAGATCATAGAGATGTGCATTTGCTTCATGGATTGGCTAGATGCAGAAGATAAATTACAAGACAAGGGAGGGCATGATACAACACCAGACATTTCACCCGATGCATATGATGAAAGTCATGACTCATGAATGATGATTCATGAATTTGACTACTTGTATAGAATTTTTCATTTTTTCAAAATTTTGTAATTTTTTAATTTTATTTATATACTTTTTTAATTTTTTAACAATGTAATTTTGTATTTTCAATTTGTAACCATATTGTCTTTTTTATATTTTATTAATTTATTCCAATGTTGTATTTCAATCATCCAAGTATGCAATGATCCAATCATTGTATTTGTAATTCACTAATTTGTACCATTCAAATTTAAATGAAATAAAATTCCTATTTTTCTTCCAATTTGTTATTTCATCATTCTTATTTCAATTTGGTTAAGTATTTTTTTTTCATTTCCATGTTAAATAACTTATATTTCTCATTTCTTAATTTTTTAAATAGTTTCCAATTTCCAA